CATGGTTTCCTGAAAAGCAGTGGCAGCTTCCCGAGCATTTGTCCAGGGGTTTGATGCTCAGCACAGGCAAAATGAGCCACATGAAGTGTTGGGTTTCATCATCTGATTAAAAAAATTTGATGTTTCTAAACACAAACTTAATTTCAAAGATCCACAGAATGGATTGGGTTGGAAGAGACCTTAAAGATCATCTCATTCCAGCCCCAGTCTGGTGGTTGGTTTATCACAAACGTGGGATTCCAGTTTAAAAACACATAAAAATAGAGCTGCCTGTGTTTGAAAAGACCCAATTATTCCTGGGCAGTGATGATTCAGATGAGACTGATATTAATTAGTCAGTGAAACCCACATGGCTTCACAAGTGTGGCTTTAATTGTTTTTTTTTTTACCTTAGTGCTGGGTTTGGTACCTGGTGGCTACAGAGAGGATGAGTTTGAACAGCTGAGTTTAAACTGGAAAATTATTCATCAGAAATTATTATTATTATTCAACACTGCTTTTAACAGTTCTTGTGCAAGACAAGCATGAATAGAATACCAGGATTATTTCAGAAATAAATGGGAGAAAAGGGAAAACTCACCTTGGTGGCTTCATCCAACTCTGCTCTGCTTTGTTTGGGGGACAAATATTTGCCATTTTGTCTTGCTGGTTGCTTTTAAAATAAAAAAATACACAGTTTAACTCATTCTCTGTCTTCTCCAAGACATTGAAATTGTAATTTTGAAATGGAGTGTGGCTGAGACCTGCCAATGTTTTAGTGAAGAGACCTGGAATTAAGAATATAAAACATTCAATGCGGGATCTCTTTTGCATCTTAGTTGAGTAACAGCATCCCAAAGGCAACCAAATGTCCTAAAAATAGCTCAAATAATTTCATTTCCATCCTTGCTTTTGAGGGAATTTTTATAAAGTGTAGAATGATTAAAGCCAAAACATCCAACTTCCAAAAATGTTTAATATCATCCCTTGAAATAAGAAGAAAATCCTCCTGAAAATGATGGTCTGAACTGGGACTGAAATTTTCTTCCTGTGTAAAGTTCTAAGTGAGACTTGGATGTTGAAATCAGAATGTTCTTGTCCCATCCCCTGCATATATAATTTTATGGATTTAAGATACAGGATTTCTTACAAAAAATACACTTTAATTTGGTTGTGTATAAAAATACACTTGTATTTTTTTGTTATTTTGTGTATAAAAATACACTTTAATTTGGTTTTATTTGTTAACAGCTTCTTCTCAGCTCCAATTCCAGCCTTATCTTCTCAAACTCGGACTTGGGGGGGGAAGGAATTTCACCCCTTTAATGTGGCAGTTCCACTGTAAAGAAATGATTTCTTAAAAAACATTGACTTTTTTTTCTCCTTGCAAATTGTCATTCTGTGCCACTTAACTTTGTATTATCTTGGCTTTGATGCCAGATTTGTTTTGTTGTTTTTTTTTAAAAAAGAAACCCTTGATTTCCTTTTGAAGTTGACAAAAAAGACAGGTTTTTCAGTGGGATTGTGATAGTTCAGGAAGTGATTTAGTGCTCTCCTGAGAGGCAGAGAGGGAACAAAAGCCATTGTGGAGGAATAATGGCTGTTGGCTTTATGGAATTGGGGTTTTTTTTTCCACCCCCATAGTTTCCCCTTCAAGTTTTGTGATGAGGGATTTTAGGAAAGACTTTTTTTTCCTGTCCAAACCTGTTCAGTGCTTTGGGTCAGAGAGTTGGGAAGTAAACGAGGTTGAAATGACAAAATCCCACGGGCACGTTCATTGAGATCATACAAGCAAGTCAAAGCTTTTGTTTTAATGTTCCCACCTCCAACTTGATGTGATAATTTTACAGAATGGATTAAATCCGTTTTATAGACTGGATTAAATCCGTGATGGTTGGAAATGAGGAACCAGCCAGCCCTCAAACCCCAGGGCTGGTGGGACATCACATTCCCTGTGCCTTGAGGAGTTTTTTAGGCCTGGGAGCTGCTTGTTTAGGCCTGGCTTTACTTGTGCCTGTGTGATGCTGCACTGACTTTTATAACTTCAGTTCTCATCAGTATTTAAGAGCTTTATCCCATTGAAACCTCTTTTAATGAATGAAAGGAGCAGGGCTGTACCTCAGGATCACACACTGACAGGTTTGGGTGCTCCCTTAATGTTTTGTCACAATTTTCCTTGATGTCCTGCCTTATATATCTTTTTTTATGTCTCCTTATCACATTGGGGGGTTTTTTTGGCCTCTCAGAGCTTGGTCATTGTGAGAGGAGTGGGGGGAATAATCAAATTACTATTTTTTTTTTGTATTCCTCAGAACACAAAGTGAGGCTGGAGGTGAATTAATTCCTGGTGCTCAGTAGGGGATAATTGGGAATAACCACGTGTGGGGATGGGATTCATCTCCCCCAGCTCTATCTGAGCAATTTTCTGAGCTAGTTTTTGGGGAGCTGTTCAGTGAAGAGGAACAGGCCCCTGGCATCCTGCCTTGCAGCTGATCTGTTTTAACCACCTGTCTTGGAAAGGCAGCAATCCCTCCCCAGAAGCACCAGCTCCTCTCCTTTGCCTCTAAAAAGCACCAGGAGAGTCCAAGTCCAGACTTAAATTCGATGACATGAACCCCTCTTTGGGGAATTTAACATAAAAAGAGCATCTGGGGTTGACATGAAGGGAGGGGAGAGATCAGAAAGTGCTTTTACAGAACAGGCTGAAGGTGGAAAAGGAAAAAATCCCCAAACCAGTGTGGTTAGAATGAGCTGAGAAAAAATAGGAATTAAATACACAGTTTTCTAGTTGGAATTGATGATTTGAAAGTTCTTTTCCAGCCTAAAAGATTCTGTTCTCGCTGAGTGAAATTCTTTTGGTTTTTCCTTAATTTTAGTTGACGTTAATCTCGCTCTGTGAGGTACAAAATAATATTTGATACAAAAGAATTCCTGAGCTGTGCTCAGATCCAGGTCAGTCCCTGACAGGAGGTTGTGGCCAGGTGGGATCTGCCTTTTCTCCAGGGAGAACAGTGACAGGACGAGAGGAAATGGCCTCAAATTGCCCCAGGGGAGGCTCAGGTTGGACATGAGGGAAAACTTCTTCCCTGGAAGGCTGGTTGAGCATTGGAATGGGCTGAGCAGGGAGGGGGGGGAGTCACCAGCCCTGGCTTTGGGATACGGTGGGATTTGGTCAAAGCTTAGCCCTGATGACCTTGGAAGTCTTTTCCAAGCCTAATGATCCTGTGATTCTGTGAAATCTGAGGAAATCTCCCAGACTGGATACACAGAATGTTTCCAAGAGCTCTGAAATCCTGATTTACAGCAGAAATCGCAGCTGCTCTGCAAACACAGAGCACTTGGAATTGCTGTGCCAAGTTTCAATCATTTATTTACATTTTTTAGCAGAGGTTGAGCTGGAAAGCTTTAGGAACAGCTCAAAGTCTGCAGTTCCATTCTGGGGGAGTTTCAGGCTGGGATTCTCCCAGCCTTGGCAATTTTATCCATCATTTGTATTCCCTGTGAGCACAAGTGCTGTTGGCACTGCCTGTGTTTGATGTGGGAATGAATGTCCTTGGAATGGAGTGGGAACTCCAGGGCTCATCCCTGCAGGGATGAAAGCACGGGGAGTGTTAAAATCCTGGTGCTGTCCTGGTGATGTGTCTCCTAAAGGATGAATTCCAGGAAAGCTGTGCCCACCCCAGGACAGACAAGCTGAACCTGTGTTTGTGCATTGCTCTTGGTTTTCTGTGGATTTGCTGTTGGGAATTTCCCCGAGTTTTTCATCAGTCGAACATCCCAGCTATTATCCCATCAGTCTTCTAATAAGAATTTTTGGAAAAATTCCGGTTGACAGAGTATTTAGTGGAGCTACCATCCCTCCTAAGAGCCTGGAGCTCTTATCCCATAGCTCTCTCCCAGCCTTTTGGTGGCTCTTCTTTTTTTTCAGGGAGCCTCCAGGAGCTTCCCTGGCTGGTGATTCCTCAAGCCCGGCCTTTGACATGGCTGAGGGAACCAGCTCCAGTGTGAGAGTGAAAGGAATTCCCAGTTTGCTGCTGGTTTGGGTGACAGCCTCTCCTGGATTCCTGATGGCCGTGGGTTTTTTTGCACGAGGAAATCTGAGGCAGGTTTAGTGTCTGTAAGGAAACAATCCCCCTGTGCTGAGAATTCCTTGGTGGTGGAGGATGAGGGAAATAATATAAAGAGGATTTTGGATACCAAAGTTTGGCTGGGCTGAGTTTTAATTTCTGCTGGCAGTGGGGGAAACTTCTCTGCAGAGGAAAAATCTCTTCTCTTCTTCCCAAATTCTGAATGATTCCATAGAACCATGGAATGGGTTGGGTTGGGAGGGACTTTAAAGCTCCTCTCATTCCACCCCAGCCGTGGGCAGGGACACCTCCCACTATCCCAGGTTGCTCCAAGCCCCGTCCAACCTGGCCTTGGACACTTCCAGGATTTGTGTCTGATTTATTGTGTCTGATTCATTGTGTCTGATTTATTGTGTCTGTTCCCCTTGTTTTAAACAGTGGGCTTGATTTTGCTGGGGCACAAATTATTCCTTAAGTCTTGCAAAATTTAACTCTTTCCCCCCCCCTTGACTTTTCAAAAGGATTTAAATAACCAAAGGCAGTTTTCTGTGGAAACACATCGTTAAATCTGTTGAAATGGCCTTTTCACCATTGCCATGAATACACTGTTTAAGTGGATATCTACCAAGTGTGATCCATTGCAAAATCTATATAATACGTTTCTAAATATGTGCAGAGTTGTATATTTAAATGACATCAGTCACCTCAAAGTCAGATTTAACACAAAACTTACATTAAACCTGTAACCTCCTCTGTGTGATGTGATTTTTATACCTCTGGTTACAACAGAGTTTGAACTTTGCTATCACTGCTGCATTCAGGAGAAATACACCTGTACATGTATTAAAAAAAACCAGTCTGAGCATCTGAAAAGTCTAAAGATGAATATTAATAAATCAGATATCCAGCACTTCCTGCTTTTCTCAATTTTCCTCCATTCTTTCCCTCACACAGGCCCTTGATGGAAATATATATGATCACCTTAAGGATTATTTAATGGCATTCAGCAGGACTGAACTAGAGACGTGCCAAGCTGTACAAAACACATTCCAGTTTTTACTGGAGACTTCCAGCAGGGTAAGTTTGAACTCAGTGATCCTTTGTACCCAAACCCTTACAGTTTATGAAAGTTACCAGGCTTAAGATTTGCTTCCAAAATCGTGCCAAGGATTATTAGTTTTGGTTTCTCCTGAGTGATGTTAAGTTAAAAGACACCAGACAGGATAATTTTGATGCTTAAATAATTCATCTACTGGGTTAAAAAGAAAATAATAATAATAATTGCCATTGAGCTCAGAGGAGCTGCTTTGGTGGAGTCATAATATTCCTTTATTTATTTATTTATTACCTTACCTGCACAGAAACAGCTCGTTTACACAGAGACCTGTGGAGTAAAAACATATTTAACACATTCCTTAACACTCACCTGCAAACAAGTGATCTCACCCCTTCATAGACAGAAAGGGAGGGCGTGAAAAATTGGCTCTGAATTTACTTGGCAGCAGCTGTAAAAATAATCAAAATACCATTTTATCTCCTGTTGTAAAAAGACTTGCTATGATTTACCTTGGGGTGCCTCATTCAGGGTTCAAATGTGTTCCCTGAAAATACAGACTTGGCATCTTTTAACTAAATCCATAGTTTCTGTGTTTTTGTCTAATATTTAATATAATATTTTATACTGTATCATGTCTGCATATTCATAATTAATTTCTCAGTGTTGTATCACATCCTTTGTGTTCATAATCCTTGGAGTGCTGCCTGGCTGGGACTTGGATCCAACTGAACTGCCACATCCTGACAGCTCCTTTGCTTAGGAATCCCTTCCTGGGATATTTGTGCGTGCTGAGCTTGTGTAAGCCAGGCTTTGCAAGGCCAGGAGCCTCCAGGTCTGGCTTGTTTTCCACAGTAACAACATCACACACTATGTTTGAGGCAACATTTGTGTTCCTGCTTTCCTTCAGCGCCTGGAGAAGGAAGAAAAATGTGAATCCCAGTGGCAGGTCTGAACAGGCTCCTCAGCACCAGTTCGCTTCTCTCCTCGTGGTTCAGGAATGCAGAGAAGGAAAACTGGAGTTACATTGCTCCTGAAAACCTGGGCCTCGCTCTGAATACGTTCACTGGGAGATTTTTCCCTGGGTTTTGCTTCTCCTTTCTTTCCAGCACGAGTTCACATTAAAATAACCAGCTCCAAAGGGAGAGGTGAACCCAGAGGAGAAACTCAACCAAAACCCACCCGTGGGTTTCAAAAGCAGCTCGAGTGTTAAACGTGGAATAAATTTGCCACTTGGCCATTTGGGATAAAGCCCAGCCTGTCCTCACAGCGAGGGTTTGAAATGTTTGCTGGGCATTTTGGACACTTCACATGTTCCTGGTTAGTTTTCCCGAGATCCCAAGCTCTGCCTGGAACAGACACTTCAGGTCTTTGGGAGAAATCCTTAGGGCTGTTCCATCTGAACCGTCCTTCAGGATGGAATTCAGTTGTATTTGCTTTAGAGTGAGACAAGTTTTTCTTCCCAGAAGTGCCTCCTTGGATATCAGGGAGCCAGGGATGGCTCCTTGGGCTGGGCTTAGGGACTGGCTGTCACCTCATGGAATGCAGGTTGAGGAGGGAAAGGCCTCAAAACCAGATTTTCTGTCCAAAATGCAGATTTTTCATAGTTACAGCATCATTTGTTGGAGCTTTGGGGGTTTTACTGTGCTTGGGTTAGTGTGGCCCGTGTCATTCCCGGGGGGAATGTGCTGGAAATGTTACCTCTGCTGCTGGAATGGAAACACTGAGATTAAAGAGGGGAAGTTTAGGTGGGATATTGGGAAGAAATTGTTCCCTAGGAGGGTGGGGAGGCCCTGGCGCAGGTTGCCCAGAGAAGCTGTGGCTGCCCCTGGATCCCTGCAAGTGTCCAAGGCCAGGCTGGAGCAACCTGGGGTAGTGGAAGGTGTCCCTGCCCATGGCAGGGAGTGGAACTGCATGGGCTTTAAGGTTCCTTCCAACCCAAACCATCCTGGGATTCTATGAAAATGAAATTTAACTCCCTTTTCACTTGAACAGTCTTATTCAAGTCTCTTACTTCTTGCATTTCTTTTTCTTGCACATCTGATTTTTCCCTTGGAGCATCTTCCAAAATTCCAGTTGCTGTTTTGAATCCCGTTTCTGGGAGTTTTCTGGTCAGAGGGCAAATCATTTCCCTCATGCACATCTCTGACTGTGCCTTTTCTTCACATGAGATATATTTGATTTCAGGTCTGTTTTGATATTGACTTAAAAAAAACCCACCCTGTCTGAGGACATTGCATTGATTTAATTTCTGAACAACAGAAAAATCTGTTTGGGAAAGTTGCAGTTTAATCCCAAAGAACAGTGTGTTGCTTTGGAGTCTTTTAAGTTTCTTTTTATCAGTTGTCAAATATATTGTGCAAAATGCACCATGTAATTTGCTGGGCTTGCACATTTTCCTCTTCTGATAACAATTGTTCTCATTTCTTGTGGCTTTGAGGGAAAATCCCTCAGGATTGCTGTTGTAAAGATGGGTTTTCCTCTTTGAAGAACTGAGTTGCTTGGAAGTCTGAGGTCTGTGGTGAAAATTGAGGGCATTAAAATATCTGTGTAGGTTTTCACGCCCTCAGTAACTACATTTTGGGGTTTTTTTCCTAATTGAAGTTAAAATAATTCCATATATTAGTCATGGCACAGAGTTGTGTGCTCTGGTCAGTGTTCACATGGCTCTAAAAGGACTGTTTAATGGAATAGCTGTTTAAATTAAAATATATTTATGATCAGTGCTGAGCATCATCTGAAGCTGCAGATGTTCCCTTCTTCAGTATTTCCTGCATTTCTGTTTCTGGGAATTCCTGGTGCAGATCCCTGTCTGTCTTCCTCCCTTCTGAATGTGTTCGTGTTCAACTGCTCAAACTGGAGCAGTAATTATGTACTTTTTTGCATGTATTATTGGCCCTGGAGGACTATTTACTTTCTTTAACTGAAGATTAATTTTTTACAGCTCAGTATTTCAGCAACACTTCGCTGCATTAGAGGACAAGCTGTATTTCCCATTGTCCACCCAGGTCATACACAAAGCTGCTATTTCTGGATAAACACCATCTTTATTATCCACTTTGTACCCTCACTTTGGTAATAGATATTTATAATTTCCTGCTGCTGTATATTCATTTCCACCCATTGAAGCAGTGAATGCTCTGGGAGAGTCTTTCAAGCAGTGCTACTATTTTTTCTTGCTGCAATCACTGAGCGTTTCTTTGTGAATCTCTGTAAATTGTGACATGAGAGGTTTGTTTAGGGACATGTGTCATGGTTTCTGAAACGTGTCATTAAACAAATTTAGGAGCTGAAGTGGTTTTGCTTTACAAAACACAGGCTTGGAGAGTTTCCTCTGAAAGCAATTTAATAGAGAGAGATGAAGTTTGCAACTGATTTTATGTGCATTACTCCAAATAGTCTTTTCAGCTCCCACAACTGATAATTTCTGTAAAATTAACACATTTCAGCCTAAGAAAGAACATTACACAAGAAATTATCCAGGAAGAGGAGGGAGAAATACTGATGGCAGTGACACCACGTTGTGTCTTCTCCAGAGTTGGCTTTTTTCCCTCGTTTTGTAGGTTAAAGTTGTATTTTAGGTGCTTGTCCTCTGAATGAGGTTCTGAATTTCCTTCAGAGTTCTGCTGCACAATTAGCTCTGTTTGAAGGGCTGGTTTTGCTGTGTAGATGTTTTTCAACTGACAAAACGAGGAGTGTCAAAGGCCTGTTTTTATTCCCTCAGGTGGTGCGGGATTACAACCTCCAGCTGTTCCTGCAGGAGAATTCCGTGTTCCACAAACCTCAGCCTTTCCAGTTCCAGCCGAGTGACAGTGACACTGTAAGAACCTTCAGAATTCCTCTGGTTTTGATATATTTTATCTAGAAATGTGGGAGAGAACATTACTCGCCGATATCCCAGACTGGTTTAACCTCATGCTGGATTTTTGGTGATAAAAGCATCCAACAGGCTCAGGGTCAGCCACAGAAAAGCAGGATGTTTTTTGGCTTTTTGTGACTAACACCCCTGTGTTTCTCTGCTTTCAACCTAATTATTACTAAATTTTGCTCTAATTCTTACTAAATTTTGTCGCCTTTTTATCCCTGCTGGGGAGGTTCTCATCATATTCATATTGTAACCAAGTCAAGTGTCCCTGCACACCTGAATTATTCAAGGAATGCTTAGAGATACACAGAAGGAGTTATTAACTCAAAAAGAATACTGGTGAAACACTGCATTCCAAAAATAACCTCCAAAAATATTCTCTTCCGTGTATGTGTTGCTTCCAAAGCAATGACATCAAAATTGGGTGAATTGGGATATTTAAACACACTTCCAAACAACCCCTTGATTAAAGTGGATTGTCGATGTCCCAGCAACATTGCTAATGTTATTTTAAGAAATAGCAGTTTAAAAGAAGTCTGGATCTTTAAAAAAATATAACCTTGTGCAGCTTTTTCTTGCTTGAATTCATTAGTGAACCGATTTGGACAGCAGTGATCTGAACTTTAGGTGATTTAATTTGAGACCTCTCTTAGCAGCTGCATAAAAGGGATTTTTCCGGTCACACCAACTTCTCTGGCACAGTTTCCTTTGTATTTCCCTCATAAGAAAGTGTGATTCTGATTTTCCTTCCAGCTCCTTTGCATAGAGTCCATATTCCCATAAAAAAATCGGGGCACCATGGTGTGATTTTGGGGCCAGGAGTTGGACTCGATGATCCCTTCCAACTCTGCATATTCCCTGATAAACTTTGAAGTTGTTCTTAATACAATGAGTGTCTTTCCCAGCCTTTCTAACCTTTGCTGCTGTGTTTTCATCCCTGTGGGATCTGTGCATCCAGAGTTTTAATGCAGTTCAGCTGGTGGAGATTGAGCCCTCACCTGTCAGTGCTATGAGAATGACCATAGCAGAGGTACCTTTGTGTCCTTATCCATGTGCATGTGGCTTGGGATATGCTGAATTTACACCCACGTGGAGGTGGCAACAGAATGCAGAATATGTGTTATCGAACCATAAAATAAATATAAATTAAATTAATAAAATAGATATAGAAAAGGAGGGGGGAAGCTTCGTTCGCAGTGAGAAGGAAAAGTCAGTTTAAAGGTGTTTTAATACGGGGAGCAGCCTCACACTCCCGAGCCTGCACAGCACTTGTAATTGATATTCTGAGCTTTTGGGGGCATGAATTAAAATTTCACAGCTCCAGACAGTGCTGGGTGTAATTGGTTCCTGCTCCACCGTGAGGGGGGAGCTGCTCTGACAAGTGGAGCTTATTAGGATGCACTGATGAAATGCAGCCCTGGTGCTAATTTAATTCTCTTCCTTTTCCAGAGGGTTATCCCTATGTCCAACAGGGCTGTAATTCCCTCCTGTTAAACTCTTCAACATGAAAAATGACAGGATTCCTTGACTTGTGTGGGCTCACAAGGGACTCATGTGCTGCTGGAGCTTCACTCCAGGTCTAAAACTGTCCCTGTCCCTCACATCCAGTGACTTCTGTACCTGCTCAACCCACCTGGGCTGGAGAATTCTTGCATTTCCTCGGTGCACTGCAGCCTTTGGAGCTTCCAGCTGCCAGTTTCCCTAAAATAATTAAATTAAACTTCTTTCTGATCCATCTAATTATGCTCAGCTGACAGGATGGGTAACAGGTTACACATTCCCAGTTTTTAATCAACAAGTACAAGGGGTTGAAGGCTCTTGTTCAGGCTTTTGACTTGGTCAGAAATTGGTCAGATTTTATTTAATTTTCTGTTGAATCAGCATTTAATTGCAGAACAATTATCAAGCATTCTTTTGCCACGTGTTTGCAGATAATCTGCAGAGTTGATCAGTTGGCTTTTAGTTCCTGTGGGTTGTGCATGATAATTTTCACACCAAAGGCTGAAAGAAAGACAAAATAAAAAATTTCACACCGAAGACTGAAAGAAATGCAAAGCAGAGTGATGAATACATCTCATTAAATGTTTACTATTAACCTTTTCCAAGTTTTATGGGCTCTCTTCAGGCTGAATCCCTGACCCACCACGACTGAGGGCAAAGTTTGGAGCATTTCAGTGTTACTGGAATGAAATTTTGAGTATTGTAGGCAGGAAGAATGTTGGAAATGATGTGGAATTCTGCTGTAAATTCTAGTTTCTCAGGGTCTATCCCAAACTTTTGCTTTGTAAGAGAAGAGCAGTTCCAAAAAGTGATGGAAAATAGATTTCTGTGCAACCCTTGGGTCAGGTGCAGCACCCACAGCTCAGTTTCCTTTCAGAATGATCCCAACAGAGCCTCCAAAAGTCTGTTCCTAAGAAAAGAAGCTATGAAACAGTTTTCCATCAATTTTCAGGATTTTTGATCTCCAGCATCCCATTAACAGTGGGTGAAATGTACCCTTTTGAGTGCCCACAGAGAGAAACCCAAAAATATTTGACATCAATCAGCTCTTTGCCATTATTAAAAAAATTGGTTGGAGCTTGAATTTGAACAGTTGTTCACGTGATTAAATTATTGAGATTGTTTCAGTGTCTTGTTTTGAGGGACATCAATTCCAGTTAAAAAAAAAAAAAAACAAACCAACAACAAAAAAAGAAGGAAGTTTTGAAAAAAGTTTAAACCAAAGCATTTTTCCCTTCAAGAAATTGTTTTAAAAATATTTAGGAAGAAATTCTTATTCTTCTTCTTAATCACTTTTAATCCTGTCAAGAAATGAATCCCCCCAAAATGGGTTTACCAACAGCAAAGTGGAAAACGGGGAAGAGTATTTTGGAATCTTTTCACAACCAGCACAACTTGGCCTTCCCTGGATTCTCAATTCAGGGACAGTTTAATCATCCAGCATCCCCCATGAAGGAAAGGGATATTTATTAATTCCCTGGAAATGCAGGGTGTGGAAAACGTGCCGTCCCCACGCTCACAGATAAGAACAGAGCAAAAGAGAAAGGAAATTCAGCAGCTTTTCTCTGTTTCCTGCTTGGAAAAGCTGCTTTTTCCTTCATCCAGGAGAGAAAATGAGCCAAAAAAATGACATAAAACGTGTCCCTGGAGCGGGAGGGGAACGGCCCCAAAAAGCTGATGCTCTGTTTTTGAGGCCTTTTTCCTGTTTTTCATCCCTGATTTCCCCTGGATGTTCCAGATCCCGAGGTTTTCTTGGAGCGCGTGAGGAAAAGCTGGGGCCCAACTGATTTGTATCACGAAAACAATCTTTTTCCCACTGTAATTTGCACAAAAACACCTCAGGAAGATGAGGGGAAAGTTTTGCAGTTCCCCCCCCCCCTCATTATTTGGCAGTTCTTGGGTGGATTGTGAGAAAAAGGATGAATTTCCCCTCACTGTCATACACAAAATATATATTGAATTGCTCAGCTGCTTCTGTGAGGCAATTTTGTATAAATTACATAAATATACTTTAAAAAGGGCCTGTATTTCTGTGTTTAGAGTGATCTCTTTAATACCAGAACAGACTGGGTTAAAGGATAACTTTTCTGAGGCTAAATGTATTAAAAAATAAAGATATTATTTAATTTTACCAGTCTTTTTATACCAGCATACACTGATTTTAAATGTAACTTTTTTGAAGCTAAATCCATTTTAAAAATAAGTTCTTATTTAATATTATTAATCTTTCAATACTAGAACAGATTGGTTATAAGTTTAACCTTTTTGAAGCAAAATATATATGAACAATAAGTTATTGTATCGTTTTATCAATCTTTTAATACCAGAACAGACTGGCTTTAAGTATAACCTTTTTGAAGCTAAATATATATTAAAAATGAAGTTATTATTTAATTTTATCAATCTGTAAATTATTAGGAATTTTTGCTGAGGAGAAATTCAGCCATTCAGGGAAAGAAATTACCTAAAATGTGAGTCAGGCCGAGCTCACTCTGGGCTAAATTAAATGCAATTAGTTCTACAATAAGAGACTAAAACAAGCCCTAAACTTGGCTCATGATTTTGCTAAAACTGCTTATTTTAGCTGTGAATTGTGTGAAAAATGTCATGTGTGTTCCTCCCTCCTCTCAAAAGTGTTGCTTTGCAGCCTTGGCATGAAAACCTCTTGTTTTCACCTCTTTAAAGGAAATGCCTGATTTTTATCCCTGTTTTATGTTGGCCCTTTGCATGCAAGAAATCTTTTCCTGCTTTTTGTCTCTGTCAAAGTGATTTTTATGTGGGTTTTTTTTTTAGGCTTCAGCCTCAAAAATCGAGAAAAAAAATAAAGAACGTTGAGGCTCAAAAACCAAGGTTTTTTTTTTTTTTTTTTCACTTTTAAGACAGCACATGTCCAGATATAACTGACAAATAAAAGCACAGGCTGGGTTTGCAACTTCTGCACCTGCAACAACATTCCAGACAAAACTGGAGGAGGGACACGTGTTTGCAGACTAAATTTCGTGTGTTAATTTAAGCAACAGCATTGCTGCCTCTCAGCTTTTGAGCTGCCTGGAGCCATCCAGCGCTTTCTCTTGGGTTCCTGATTGAATTTTTAGCACTAAACACTGTTTTCAGTGTAATCCAAGCCCGGAGGGAGCAGCAGAATGTCCAGCTATGTTTAGCTGGGGGATTTTTTGGCTCTTCCCTCATTCCTTGGCCATGGAGAGTGGGTTTGGTTTCCCTCTTTTTTGGAAGAGGTTAAATTGAGGCACTGGCCATGTTGCCACCACCGAGTTCCAGTCCTGAAAACACTTAAGCACAAGCTTAATTTAGTAAATCAGGTCAGGAGCAGATTCTTCAGTTCCCCACCTTCTTCCCTTCGGTTTTGATGTCTGGAGGATAAACCTGGTTTAGCTCCTTTGTTCTCACCTATTTAAATGCCAGCTGGGTTTTCATTCCTTGTTTGATGTCCCCCTTGCCCTGAGGGTTCAGACTTCCCAGATTATCCTTGAATCCCTGCTTTTCCATGCCAGCCACCTCCCAATGCTCTGCTGCTTCCAGGTTTCTCCACAGCCTCCTGAAGTGGCAGCAGCTTCTTGTACAGGTCAGGTGAAGTCAAGTCCCTCCCAGCCATGGATTCAGGGAGCATTCCAGGTCCTGAGGGGTTTGAAACTGTTCTCAGCCAGGGATCCAGACTGGGCATTTCCACTGGCTTGTCCAGCTTAGGAGAAGAAAATGAGCTGCTGAGTAGGAGCAGGATGAATGGGAACTTTGGAAATTCCTGATGAGATGTTTTATGAGGTGGTTTATAGGATTCTGCTCAGGATTGGGGCTGTTGAGAGTCAGGTGGAAGCTGTGGGAGAAGCTGTACAATAACCTGGGAATAAACTGAGGTCCAGTGTTATCTCAGGGATGGGATGTGAATAAATCCATGTGTTTGTCCTGTTCAAGTTTTGCACTGACCTGGTGGAGTAACGTAACAGAGGTAATTAAAGAGGTCAGTAATGAAGGAATGGGATTCTATAAATCCACCTCAATAAAAGCAGGTAAAAGCAAACTTAGTAATTAAATTGAGGGGATGGGTGAAGAGATCTTCACCTGCAGCTTCACCTTCCTACCTGTTCATTCCAGAGCCGCCCACATGCTTGTAACCCTTCTCCTCTTCTGGGCTGCCCTACACCTCGTCCAACAACTCCTTCTACTTCAAAAACTACCACAAACATGAGTTTTGTGGTTCTGTCCCACTCCAGTGGGTGAACTCCATGGGAATGGTTGTTTCTGGCTTTGACATCAAATATTTAGACATCTTCCAATGGGTTGGAAAAGCCTCTGGGGTGGTTTTTTTGGTCACTGTGAGCAACAAGGGGGTGCTATCTCCCCTTAACCCCTCCTTTGATGTGGTGGAGTCCCCATCCGTGGAGGGATTTAAAATCCATGTGGATGTGGCACTCGGGGCCATGGGTTAGTGGTGGTCTTGGCAGTGCTGGGGAAAGGTTGGACTCAATGATCTTGGAGGGCTTTTCCAACCCAAATGATTCCGTGATAAATGCACTGGGTAGTGCAGTTATGGAAATGACAGATTGGGAATTATTTCAGTCATTACATACTGAGAAATCTTCAGACTTCCAGACAGGTTCTGTTCCATCTGTAGACAGGAGAGAACTACTCATCTTCCTTCAGCTGGAATTTCTTCAGGGGGAGAATTACTAAGAACGAGCCTAAATGGCCCGTGGGATCACACTGAACCTTTCATCTTTAGGAACAAATCCTTCCCTGGGAGGGTGGGCAGGCCCTGGCACAGGTTTTCCAGAGAAGCTGTGGCTGCCCCATCCCTGGAAGTGTCCAAGGCCAGGTTGGAGCAACCTGGGCTAGTGGGAGGTGTCCCTGCCCATGGCAGGGATGGGACTGGATGGTCTTTAAGGTCCCTTCCAACCCAAACCATTCTGTGATCTTTGCTTCCTGTAACGATTTTTACCTCAGAAATCAGGTGAATCCTTGGATATTTATTCTTTATCTCTTGGATTTGGTGGATGGCTGTGCCTGTATTTTTGTTGGATTCACTGTGGCTGTCTGTCATTGCAGTAGAGCTGTGGTTGTGTCCAGTGTCACACTGATGCTCCTGAAACTCTTGTGAATTCCTGGGAACTTTGATTTGCATTTTCCACGGCCTGGTCCCATCCCAAAATCCAGTACAGTTGTTTTGCTCGTGTCCTCGTTGTTTCATGTGAAACAAGACTGATTAACATAAAGTTTTCCTGTATGGAAACACCATTTTCCCCACAGAGCTTCCCCCTGGGGCTGTGTCAGGACTCATTCCCTTGTTTTCTGTTCCAGAGTCGACAACTGGAATCGGAAACTGGAACGACTGAGGAGCACAGTCTGAACAAGGAGGCTCGGAAATGGGCCACCAGGGTGGCCAGGGAACACAAAAACATTGTCCACAGCCAGAGGGTAGGTGGGGGACACTCTGTACACAGGGATTTGGGGCATGAAGGAGGGGCACGAGGGATTATTTCTGTCCTGTCCCCCCTCCCTGCAATTTTCATCCCAGCCTTTCTTGGTTTGCAGCTCCTCAGGCTTTGTCGTTGTGTTTTGTTTTTCCCATGGGAACCTGAAATCAGAGCTGCTGCTTTTTACTGCAAGTGCCCACCCTCCTCCTGCTCAAATTAAACTTTCAGGGGTTCTCTTATCTCCCTGGGATTCTCCTACCTCCACTCTCTCATGTATTTATTACCCATGTTCATTTGGGGATCACAAGTCTTTTCAACACTGGGAAAATCCATGAGTAGTGTGCACTTTAAATCTAATCTTAAGGAATAAAATCGTGTATTGTTGAATTTATTTCTATCTATTTGGCTTAGAAGAACCCGTGGCTGTGTTTGGCAGCCTAACTGGGGCATCAGATATTTTGAAAGGTGTGTTTTAGAGTGAGAAAAAGGACAAAAGTTCTTTGCTTTTCCTCCGAAAGGCAGCCAGGGAGGAGTGTGTTGTGTTGTCACCTTACTCTGCCTCATTTCCCAAACATTCCTACAGTTCCCACCCCAAGTGGAGCATCAGCTGCAGAAAAACAACGTCCTAAATGCTCTGACATCTCTAAAAAATGTTATGACACTTGGTCTAGTGGAAGGTGTCCCTGCCCATGGGAGGGAGTTGGAACAGGATGATCCTTAAGGTCCCTCCCAACCCAAACTCTGGGATTCTGCATTCCTGACATAAATATGCAGCAACATATCCCTTTCAAATATGGAATTACCAACCTATAGATGAGTCGGTTCCTACCACAGTCTGATGTTTTGGTGAAGATCTGGAAACCTTCCCCTAAGTGGAATGTCCATGTGAAATTCTGTGCTCTCAGGTGCTGTTTTCCCTTGTCCATCACCTTTTTTCTTCCCAGTGATGGACCATTGCCTGTAATTGAACAGTAATTGTTGGGAATATTTATCCTAGTAGATAATAACCATCATAAATATTTATCCTGGGAGCGTTTTGCTGGTGTTGACTCCAGGTGTTTCCCTGTTCCTGGCAGACCCTGGAGGAGCTGGAATGCCACGGGCCCGTGATGTCCGAGCAGAGCCGAGCGGAACTGGAGCAGAAAATAGACGAAGCCAGAGAGAGCATCCGCAAGGCTGAGGTGAGCAGGGAATTCCCTGGGAGAGATTTGTGTCCCAGCTCTTCTAGTTTTGGTGGTGGGACTGTAAATTGAAGCGTCAGAAATCAGGGAATTTTAAGACGCCGTTTTTTTTCCCATCGTTTCATCCTTGTCAAAGCGTGGAGTGAACTCGATGACAGGCTCCGGAGCAGAAGAGGGATGTTCAAAACACCTCCTGATGATGAGTGATTGCACTTGCTGCGTTTGCCACTCTCGTGCAAAGGTCAAGGAGCTCTATATTTAGGGGCTTTATCTTAAGCAAGAGGAAAAACAACCTCGAGTCTGCAAGTTTCCCTCTGCTTGGAGGAATTAATACCAGCAGAGGTGATAGTCGTATCTCTGTCTTGATGTGTTTTCTTCTGATGTGCTTCTGCTGTAGTTGGGTTTTGATAGAACAATTCAGAATGTTGACGGGCAAACATCAGAAATAATCCTTGTATCTCTTTCTGCTTTCCTGGGAGGTGTTTTGAAAACGTTAAAGAGGTTTATGAGGCTCGCTGGGGGTTTAGGAAACGCTCAGGAAAAGATAAACCAGCTCCCTATTTGGCTGCCAGTGCTGGGTTAGTGCAGGTGAACTGTTTTCATGGCCATTGATTCGAAAACTCTTATTTCAGGCACCAGGAACTAATCTGTTGCTTTTTGGATGAGTGGGTTGCTTAATTAAAACTGTAGAGCAAACCTAATTGTTTCAGTGAAGTGCTTCTCATACCTCAGAGTACCTGAGGTAATTAGGAATGTGATTTACAGTTGAAGAGGTTGGAAAATACAGGGGGAAATTATTCCTCCTCCTGGTGGGAGAAACACTAAACTCCCTTTTTAAATATGCTGAACCAAAAACCTAAACCCAACAAAAAGTTGTTTAAAAACCTATTTTGAGTAAATTGTTTCCAACAGGCTCTGAAATACTTCATTCTCTGTGTGTGTGTATATATAAATATATATATATAATGATTAGTTATAGTTAATGATTAAATATGCAAGGGCAGGGAGCACAAGAATGCAAGATAAGAGCAGCAGCAGCAGCAAGAAATAAAATCAGGATTAGAAGTTGCCCAGGAGAAGGTTCTCCCATCAAAATATTATGAAAGGTCCAAATGAAATCAGTTTGGAACTGAAGTGCCAGAGGGTGGAAGGAAAGTGCCAAGAAGCAGAAGTTTTATATAAATAAACATGAATTATTTTCTCCCAGAGATGTGTTACAGCTCATAACAGCCAAATACTGTATTTTCCTGGTTTTCCAGTGTGTTGAAAACCATTCCTTGCCTTCCTCATTTTTGACAAATTCTGTTTTATTTATATATTGATTTACATTTAACAGTTCTGTTTCACAGCAGAATTCAGGGCAAATGTCAAGTGACTGAGTCTGGGACTCAGTGACTGGGGGATTTTTACTGACTTCTCTCCTCTGATCCAGATTTTCTGCTGCATATTTTAAAGTCCTGAAGTTATCCCTGAGTTTTTGGGATGGCAGGTCCCACTTTGTGGGACTTTTCTGTATTGCCACCACAGTTATTTATAATATAAAATTGTTTATTTTTTTAAGATAAGCCAGTAAGTGAATTCAGGGAGCTTTTTTTTTCACTTCCACTTAGGAATGGCTTTTTCTTTAAGCCCCAGCCCCTGTTAGGCCCACTTCTTCTAAGCCTGAGTTCAAGACCAGTGATTAGACAAGAGATTTTTACACATATAAAATCCCAGAGAAGAAGAAACTAAGCTTTGCTTTAAAACCTTTTCTTTGGGAATGCACTGATGATTCTTTCCAGCCTATAAAACCAGACATTGCTGCGTGTTTAAGTGCAGCTGATGAAGTTGGAATTGCTGAGGTTCAGGGAGGGGAATGATATTTGTGGGAGAAGTTCCCATTGGGTATTTGGGGTGTAGGGAGGGTGGGGAATTGTCCTTTCCCTGTCCTGCTGCACCATGTTTAGGTCAAGGAGCTGCAGCTGGTGAGTAAAGCAGAGCAAAGAGACCCTGATTTAGCTCAGTGCCTCCAAAAGGTGGATTTCAGGATCATGAGGAGGGCTGGAAGGTTTCCAGATGGGTGGCAGGAGTCAACAGCCAGTTACTGGAATTAAGGAGGAGACAAATTTTCCCACACTTCCTGTTCCTCAGAAAAAGAGGACTGGGAAAGTGGAATAAGAGAGATTACACAGGTTTTGTTCCAGGTTGATGTTTCTAATTCAGGAAATAAATCAAGGTGGGGGGAAACAAGTCCCCCAGCCAAGGCCAGAAGTGTTTTCTGGGTCACATTTTGGAAGGTGTTTTACTCCTTGGGAGTAAAACCCACACACCCTGGGACAGCCCAGGGGAATCCCCCCTGGAACACTCTCCAGTTCCTTCTCACCTTCTCAAATCAAACCTTAACCACCTGCACTTGGTGCTGCTGCTGCTCTTGGGAAGAGTCATTATTTTGTTTTTAAAGGATCTGTGCGTTCCATTAGTGCTTGGAAAACACTTGCTGAGTGTTATTTCATCCCAGAGGTGTTCTCCCATCTTCCTTTTGGGGTATTTTTTTTTTGTATTCTTCTCTTTAAATGCTTATTCTTTTTATGGGAATTTTGATGTCTGGAGTAACCTGCCTGTTCTGTTTTGGCTTCTTACTCTGCTCCTTGGTGTTTTTTCCTTTGCAAATCCACTCTCTTCCTCCTTTTCTTTCCTCATCATTCCTGAAGGGGAAGATAAATTCACGGGCACGTTGGGATTAAATTCTGCCTTTTTCTGGCAAAGCTGTGTTGGTCATCACTAGACATTTCCACTTGTTTTTCCCTGAGGAATTTTATATCCTTGACAGATCTCTCTGGTGCCAGAAGACAGAGCAGGTTCAGGATGAGCTGAGCCAGGACCTTTTGGGGAGGATTTATGGGCTTTCCCCAGGGTGTTTTTGGGCACAGATGTGCTCATCTCATTTTCCTCTTCCTTGGAGACCCTGAATCCACTAAAATCCAACCCCTGGGAATAACTCAGGATCCGTAGCATACTTATAACTCATGGTGTAAATGTGTTAGGTTTAGTTTGTGATGGTGAAATTTGGAAGCACAGCAAAGAAATCAAGTAAAAGTGGATCAGGATCAAGAGATGTTACAGAAACCCAAGTTTTTTGTCTTAAAAGGTGCCTGAACATAAAACCTCAGTGGGTTACCCCTGATTTTTGTCTCCCTGGGATAAGGAGGTATTTTTCCTTGTGATGTTTCAGTGGAGCAAACTCCTTGATTAAAGTTTGGGGAAAATTAGCACTTCCAGCAGTGTTCCTGTGCAGTTGGTACAGGGCAGATGTGACTGGGACTGAGAACCAGAGCACACATTTCCTTCTGAAAAACAGACAGTTTGGGGTTTGTTGAAGGGTTTTTTTATTGTCTTGCTGGCTTGTTTTTGGAGGAGCTGTTGGAATAATGTGAGATTATGACTGATAATACCTCTGGCACTGGCAGAGCAGTAAAATTGATATTAATTAGGAGAGTTTAGATCTAGAGAAACTCCACCACTGCTGTGGGCTTGGATAAAGACAAGCACTGAGAGCAGAAGATGCTTGTTCAGATTGAAGGCAGCACAATTCAAGCATCATTTGGAAAGGAAATCAGTGAAGAAAATTTAGAATTGATACTGAAATTGAATTTGGAAAAACTGATAATTTGGGAGAATCAACCATTCTTGCAGCTCCTTTGCACTCACTCATCCAGCTCAGGTAACTGAACCAGAACTTGGGTGTTTTAAGCTTTGATTTTTGTGGCAGCAGGAAGGAAGGAATTGAACTTTCCATTCCTCCACAGCCTGGATCCCTTTATTTTTCAGCTGCTGGGGACAAAAATGTCCTGTCTCCACTGATCTGTGCTGTGGAAATAGGGAAAACACAAGGTGAAGCTTTCTAGAATGCTCCTTTCCTTTCTCCAGGATGGTGGGAGGTTTCCCATTTGCTCTCCCTTTGCTCAGGAAAGGTCTTGGGGCCTCCACAGCAATTAATCCTGTTTGCACTTCATTATGTTTTGTCTCATCAGTTGTTCATCTACAAGTCTCAGGAGAGTGTTTGGACCAGATTAGGCTTGGTTAAGACTCATCAAGGTGCCGTTTGCTGGGTTTGATTAGTTCAGAGGCAAAAGGGCCATTTTTAGTGGTGCTTGGAGGGCTGTTTTCTCCCTCTGCCTTACATCTGGGATATTTATTGCTGGGCTGTGCTGACAGTTGTGTTGCTGGCTGAGCTCCTGGGCTGGCTGAGGCCCTGGGTTATGAATCACACCCTACCTGTGGTCCTGCTGCATCTCCAGCAGGCGTGGTTCCATCTCATCCTGCCTTTGCTGTGTGTGCTCTGCACTGAAACATTCACCTGCAGGGATGGTGTCACTCCCTGCTCACAAACAGGGGGAGAAAAGCAAATTCTGTGTGCTTCAGGAAAAGAAATGAAATGGGAACACAGAATCACGGAATGGGGTGGGTTGGGAAGGACCTTCAGGAAAGGAGAGTGACTTTTTGCTCAGCAGACACTAATGGGACAAGGGAGAGTGGTTTTAAATTGAGAGAGAGGAGGTTTAGGTGGGATATTGGGAAGGAATTCCTGGCTGGAAGGGTGGAGAGGCCCTGGCACAGGTTACCCAGAGAAGCTGTTGGCTGCCCCTGGATCCCTGGAAGTGTCCAAGGGCAGGTTGGGCTTGAGTCAATGGACTCCTTTTGGTAAAGGATCAGGAATTAGGCTGGGCTACAAATATATTGGTTGGCTTGTTTTCTAGATTTTGGGTTTGTTTTCATTCAGTTCTTTTGAAAGGTGAATCCCACTGAAAATCCAGCTCAGTTCCATGAACCTGGGGTTCAAATGCAGTGTAATCTATTTTACAGTCATTCAGGTGCTGGGCTTTGAGGGGGTCTCTAGTCCAACCTCTGCTTAAATCTCCCTCATGTTTTTGGTTACAAACATCCACAACATTTTTCACTGTATTCAGAACCAGTATTTATTCTCAGGACTGCAGAGAAATGTGCTAATAAGGGTTTGCATC